CTCGCTAGCCTCCCCAACACTAGAAACCTTCCCCATCCCAGATCCCCTCCACAGCCTTCCTTCCACAACCCTAGCCTCCTGCCCCTCGCCCAAATCCCCTTCCCCCACCTGTCCAGATCTACCGGATAGTGAGCAAATCTCCAGCAATGAATCCTCTCCTGTAGCTCAGATTTGCCAATCTCCTCGATTGGACTCAAGGTTCGTCACTCTCCGTACTCAGGATCCAAGCAAATCCTCTTCGCTCTCAGATCTGCCTGCTGAGGTGCTGCCCGAAGCAAGTCGCCTTTACTCCGAGGTGCTTGCTACTCCTGCCCCCTTGCTTCCTAGCTCCAAGTCCCAGCACGAGCAGCTCCCTCTGAAAATCCGTCCTCTTGCCGACTGCCTTAACTTCCCTGCTGAGCAGCTTGGTTCATCTACCATGAAGCAGCGCTTTAATCTGGTCGAAGTGACAGATCCAGCTGTGGTTTCCCAAGGAGCAGCAACCAAAGATCTCCGTATCCTTAAGAGTGGACGCAGAGTGCAAATGTCAGCTCAAATCCCTCCTGTTTCACAGCAGCTGAAAGGTAGCTTTGATGTCGACGATTCACAGTGGAAAGAAGTCAAAGCAATCGTTGGCGGAAGAGACCTGCTCTCTCCCCTGAGGACACCAACCAACTTCAATTACAGTTAAGGAGGGAGAGATTTCTGAAGCATATGGAAGGTAAATGCTTCCGCTGTCTCCGCCAAGGCCATCGAGTTCTTGACTGCAGAGACCCTCTTCGCTGTTGGTTTTGTTTGGGCAACGGTCATCTCGCTTCCTCCTGCCTAAAGAGAAAATCCTTTAAATCCACAGCCCTCCCTTCACCACCCCCTCACACCTCCACTGTTTCTTTCCCTCCACTCGCCCCAATTCGTTTCCCACCCAAATCCCTCCCATCCTTTGCTCTCCCAGTCCCTCCCACCATGGATGACCTTGCCGACCGCCCCTCTCAAGAAGCTGTATTTCTTTCGGCCACAGGAGAGATTGACCGTCTGAGGCAGAAGTTTTCTGCTCGCTCCATAGTTGCTTGGCAAGTTGGGACTCAGGGTTCCAAGGTTGATCCCAATGTGTTTGCTGACGATGTTCGTTCAGCATTCCGGATTAGGCGGTCGGATATCCAGATTACAAAGTTTCACCCTAAAGATTTTTTCATCACATGTGCCAGCCAGAGTGACAGGGATGCCATCCTGAGGCAGCCACGGCTTGCCACCAAGTCTGGGCGAGTCTATCTCTTCCGCCCGTGGGAAGAAGGCTTGCATGGTGTCCCGGCGTGTTTCAGATTCAGAGCTCGAGTATGCATTGAGGGGCTCCCAATGCATGCCCGTACAGATGAAGCAGTAGCCAAGATCATTGGAAGAAAGTGCTCCGTTCATTATGTTGAAGAGTATTCCCACCGCAGGAACTACAACCGCACTTTTGACTTATGGATTTGGACTGACGCTCCAAAATTCATCCCGCGATCTTCGAGCTTCTCTCTCACCAATGCTGATGAAGAAGGTCTGCCCATAGACATCCCCCTTCCGGACCTGGAACCGCACCACAATCCGCCGCCAGAGGAGCCAAAGGAGGGGTGGACTTACAATGTCCTGATTCATATTGACACCCTGGAAGACCTTCACTGCAAGCTTGCCCGTGCGTACGACTATCAGTACGGTGCTGAAGATGATGGTGTTCGCTTCCGGGAATTCCTGCTTCCCTGTAGGAGGGAGCCTGATGTCGGATCCCAAAACTAACGATTCAGAAACCGACATGTTTGATATGCAACAGTATTTAAGAAAATCTTGAATTATATTTCTAACTAAAGTACCATATGAGTCCCGATGCTCAAATCCGTGAGCACGGCTATTCGAATAGTTTTAAGGATATTCATACTGCAGTAGATGTACGCTTTACCCGCAGTCCACGACTTGCCAATAATGATTAGCTTAGTCATGGCCCAGTATTAGGTTATTAACAATTATGGCACCTGTTCCATGAACTCTAGTCCCCATGCGCTTTGAATGTAACGTTATCAGCAGCGAGAGGAGTTCTGGCATTCCCGGGGTTTTTAGAGAGAACTGGATGAGAGACCCCACGTCATCTCAACCAGGTTTTCATAAATTCACACACACATCGCGCGATAATCAAGATATTTACTTGCGCCTCGGTAAATATCACATTTGCCCTTCGCGGCATATATTTGCCTCCTTCGCGAGGACTTACATAAGAACCACTGTACAGAGGTACCACATTGTTAATTAACATAATATCTAGGTCTGTCCCCATTCTAGAAGCTGTGGTCGTACTCGTTCGTTTGACATAAGTACTTGGTAAACTTATATCGACCGAGACAGTACTAGCCACCTGGAAATCAACCAAATCTTACGTACTGTCCCAATCTAAGTTCATTATATTTTATGCAATCTAACTAGGCAGGGCTAAGCAAAAGCTAGCATATAACTGGTTTGCTATATGTTCAGATTATGCATTCAAAATCATGAATGGCTAATGCGTAGAATAGAATGTAGAATATAGGATAATTATGCTCAAAGGAGAGGAATAATAACTTGCCTTGCTCCAACGCAAATAAATCCAAGATAGGCAACCTGATTATCCGATTCTCGAAATACCATAGGTTGCCATCCAAAATACAATAAACTCTACTGAGAAAGAGGAAGAACCAAATTCAATAAAAGCCATAAAATAATAAGAAAACGATAAACGACTAAGAGGGCTAGGGTTTAAGGTATAACCTATCTCTTTTATAGGGTATAGGGATTATGGGGCTAGTATTTGCTAGTGGTAGGTTTAGGTGGTATAATAGCTAGGGTTTAGTTATATGGGAGTCGATTGTGGAGTAGGATAGCATACGGTTAGGCTCTAAATTTTATGTGGAGGCTCTCGTGGTTTGTATGATAGGAAATATACTGGATAGTTGATATGGTTAAATAGGCATGTGGCTAATATGGGTCAAGGTTGGGCTTTGGTAGAATAGTGGCTAGGATTTAGTTGTTTAAGCCGATATCGAGGTAGGATAAATATCGGCTAGGGTTTTAGGTGTTTGCTAGTCGTCGTTAGGGTTGGGTAGCATGACGACTAGGTTTGGTATCATTTCTAGCCGTGTCGATAGACAACATATCGGCTAGAAGAATAGGAGGTGGGTGCAGGTTTAGTGGGGTGGAAGTGTTACTCCGACAACTGTGAGTGGCGGCGAAGCGGCTAGGATCACACAGAGCCCGAGAGCTAACTGTGCGGCGTGCAATGGAGGTCGAGGGGATAGTGAAGCTCCAACTGCTATACGCATCAAGGCGTGGGGTGCCAGGAGCAGCACTTTGACCTTGGGTTTGGTTTATGCCGGGCTTTACAACCAACGGTCCGACATTGAGGTCCGTAGACCACGCGAACGTCCCCATGGAAGGCGTAAAGTTCCAACCGGCGGCTTTTAGTGGCTAAAAGGCATTTTGGAAATAAAAGAAAATATTTGGAAAGCAAATATAAGTTTAAATTGTAAATTCAATTATAAGATTAAATCAAATATTTATTCAAATGGCATTTGAATAAATTAAGGAAATTCAAATAAAATCTTAAAATAGCAAATTTGATATCAAAATGAAGAGTTTGAATTTAGATGAATTTAGGTCTAAGTTTCACTGGAATCGGATCTACGGTTTAGGAGATATGGGCTTCTAAAGAATAGGATTTGAATTAAATCTAGAAAATGAGAAAAGTTACTGTTGATGGGCCCACCTGTCAATCCCCTTTTCTTTTTCTCTCTCCTTCTCTCGTCTTCTTCTTCTTCTCTTCTCTGTTCCAGAGAGAGAGAGCCGTGAGAACAGAGAGGAGAAGGCGAGCGGGGCAGCGGCGCTCCGGTGGCTGGAGGGCGGCGACGTCGGCGTCCACGCGTGTTCCCGAGCACGAAGCACCCGGGAAGGGCAGTGTCTGGCGGAGAGAGCGAGGGAGATGGCCGGAACGGCGACGACAAGAGCTCACCTCCGGCGAGTAAAAGAAGTGGTGATGGTGGCTTATAGGATGGCTAAAGGAAAGGGGAAACTAGAAAAATGGGTTCGTCGGAGGGAGGCAAGTATGGTGGCGCGAGGATTTGGTTAGTGTTGCTCCGGTAAAGGAGATTGGGCATGGCAAGATAGTGGCCGGCATGGGAGAGAGAGAAGAGAGAGAGAGTTCGGCTTGTGTGTAGAGAAGGGCCGGCTATTTATAGGAGAGAAGGGCGGTTGTGAGAGGCGGTTCGGAGGAGGAGGTCGAGGAAGACACGGCGACGGTAGCGTGAAGAAAAGAATGACGGCGGCCGATTACTTCGCAGCGAGGGAAGGCGTTGGCGGCGCCGTGCGCCGTGCGCAACACGCGCACGGGAGGAGGCGGCGGCTCGGCTGAGGTGTGGGCTGGTTTGGGCCGGCTCGGCTTAGCTGGGCCGGCAGCCCAAGAAGGAGGAGGAAAATAGAAAAGAAAAGGGATTGGGCCAAAAGGAAGAAAGAATGGAGTTTCGGCCCGATGACAAAAAGAAAGAAGTCTAATTTGAATACTTGATTTGAATAACTAGGTTTTGCAAAGAATTTGAATTCGGAAAGAATTCACAAACGAGATTTCTTAATTTATTTGAGTGCAATATTTAGAGGTGGAGTTTGAGGGAATTTATTTGGAAGCACTCAAATAGGAAGGGAAGTTAATAATATTCCTCAAAATATTTTTGGGAATATTGAAGGGAATTAGTTGAAGACAATAAATAGGATACCAATTCTAAAATTGGTATTATGTATATTTTTGGCTAAAAGGGGAAGTTGAGTGAAGAATATAAATTGGAATTTTCTTAGCACAAGAGCAATTATTCACCATATTTGCAATAATACTATTCTTGTGCCGAAGAGGAAATCAAGCCACAGAAATTAAATTGGTGGCTAGATCAAAAGGAAGAATTTGGATATTTGGATCGATAATCAAAGGATGGTTTTAAGATCAAAGGATGGGCTAACAATTAATTCCAATGAGATTGGAATTACTTTGATTTAGGTTCAAGGGCAAAATTGGAGGATTTCTTGGACCATAATTCATAATAGTAAAAATGGTTTTCAAACTAAATTTGAATAAAAGAGTTTTAGTCGAAAGAAGGTTTAATATTCGAAAATAGAATTCCAACAAGAAATACCAAATATATTTTTAAATGAAAAACACAAAAGAGATTAAATACCATAGATGTTTTATGCGCGTTAGTTTTAGGAGGTCCCGCTAATTATATTTTCCTAGGTCTAGAAGGTTATTAAGAACATAAGAATCAGCATGATGCAAGATTAGAAAATGACACATTTTCAGGATGTTACACCTGATCCAAGAAAGGGCCCTGATGATGATGAAGAAGACAGGGAGCAGCGCTCCCAGGGCCAGCATAGGAGCCGCTCCCTCTGGAGCCGTGTTGGTGGACGATCCTCCAGCCGGAGCAGGGAACCGGTTGGCAGTGAACGTCAGGTCTACACTCAAGATTCGCGTGGGCGGCAGTGGGCAAGGGCTCCCTCTGAAGGCAGAAGCCGCTCCTACCGCTCTCGCTCCCCAAGTGAGGTACGTCCACCCCCGACTACCCAAGAAGAGGTACAAGATCCCCAGCTCAGTCAGCCCTCTCCTCAAGTTCCTTCGCCTTGCAAGAATGCACAACCGCGCCGTAGTGGGAGCCCTGACGCGGGCGCAAATTTTACTGCCACGCATTTTTCTTCTTCCTCTCCCCATGATGTGCAGCCTGAGCTACTGATCTTCTCGCAGGGACAGGTGCTGGACATGCTGGAAAAACACCTCGACCCCATGCTCCATGAAGCCACTATCCAGCACTCCATGTACTCACCAGTCTTCATCCCTTCCAGCGCCCAGGAGATCGTTGTGGGGGCTGCTACAGAAATGCCTCCAGGGGCCAGGAACTTGAACGAGCTGGTGGCAGGCCTCTCCACGCCTGTCCAAGCGGCGCATCTTCCAACCCCTGACGTGAGCTCTCGCCGTCCTTGCCGCAACAAGGTGATACTCCACTCCCCTCAAAGACATAGTGAACGATTGGCATGCAAGCGCAGATTTGGAACCAAGATTGAAAATTTTGCTCAAGAAATTCTTGCTAAAAATTTTGGTTTCTTAAATGACCAAAACCCGTTTTGATGAAAATATCAAAAAACTGTATGTGCAGCATTTCAAGAAGCCGCTGTCCCCTGCCTCAATGAAGATGATCACAACCCTGGTTGAGAAGGGAGGATGCAAAGGCGCCCGCCTGAAGACCGCCAAGAAGAAAGCGGTGGTGGTGCCGGTCTGATGCTCCCTCAGCTATGCAGTCCCTGTGAAGTGATGATTGCTGATATGCATCATCTCATTCTAAAGAGTTCCAGCGCCAGCAGTTGTCCCCCACTCCTGCAGTCCTGCCTCCAGCTTGTGTTACTTTTGGTTGTAGTAGTTGCATCAACTGTGTACAGCTGTCGCACCTGTGTTTCTCCCAGCTTTGCTGGCTGTGTTTCGGTGTGCTCTGTATGCTGCTTGCCGACTGAAATGTCATCCCTAGTTGCCTCTCTGTTTACACTATGTCACGAGACAATGTTCATCTGTTCAATTGGAATGTAAGAGGGCTTAATGCCCAAGCAAAGCAGGATGCAGTTAAAGCTTTTGTTTATCAAACTGGTGCTTCCATTGTGTGTTTGCAAGAAACAAAGCTAGCAGTTGTTACTGACAGAAGTATCTCAAGTATCTTGGGTCAAAACTTTGTCCAATCCTTTGCTTTTCTGTCGGCCAGTGGAACTAGAGGTGGAATCATACTTGCATGTAATTCGAACTTCTTCTCTATGTCAGAAATTAAGCAAGGTCAATACTCTCTAACAGCAACCATCACCATGCTTGAAGAGGCTCTCCAGTGGTCTATAACGGTGGTATATGGTCCCCAGCTTGAAGCAGATAAAATTGCCTTCTTGACAGAGCTTGAATCCCTTTCCCCGTCTATGAAACCGGCTTGGCTTTTAATAGGGGATTTCAATTTAATCTATAAAGCAGCTGACAAAAACAACGATCGCCTAAACAGGAGAATGATGCAGCGTTTCAAAGGGTTAATTGACAAAATTGAGGTCAAGGAACTTTATCTTCCAGGCCGACGTTACACTTGGGCGGGTGATGGCCAAAACCCAACGCAAACAAAAATCGATCGCGCTTTTGCATCACCTGAGTAGGACATTTTGTTTTCAAATGCCTCCCTGCAGCCTCTTTCCTCCTCAACCTCAGACCATGCTGCATTGTTCCTAATAGGAAATGAATGGAAAGATAAAGCTCCAAGCTTCAGATTTGAAGCGTTCTGGTTCAAAATACCAGGCTTCCTGGAAATAGTACAAGACTCCTGGCTCCGTCCGATTTTAGCAACAAACCCGTTTGCCATCCTGCACATCAAACTGAAACGGCTGGCACGTGATCTCAAGAGATGGAGCCAACAAAACGTTGGAGACATCAAGCTTCAATTAGCAGTGGCTAATGAGGTGGTTTTTCAACTGGATGTTGCGCAAGAGACAAGAAATCTGACAGCTGATGAACGCATCTTTCGCGATGATTTAAAAGCAAAGATCCTAGGCTTGGCTGTCCTTAATAAGATACAGATTCGACAACAATCGAGGTTAACGTGGTTAAAGGAAGGCGATGTTAATTCCAAATTCTTTCATATCAAAGCAAACTCCCACAGGAGAAAAAACTATATCCAGACCCTGCAGTCCCCAAACGGTTTAGCAGTCTCAGCCTAGGACAAGGCTGATACTCTTTTTCGCTTCTTCTCGGATAGGCTGGGAACTCCTTCATAAAGACAGTCTTGCCTCAATTGGGAAGCGCTCAACTTCACATCCTTCGATCTAGACGATCAAGAAGACGATATCACAGAAGAAGAACTAAAACAAACAGTTTTCTCCATGCCGTCCAATAAGTCACCCAGCCCAGATGGTTTCATTGGAGCTGTTTTTTAAATTTGCTTGGGAGATAATCAAAGATGATCTTTTGCTAGCTGCTCAATCCTTCTTCGCCATGAATACAAAACAACTGGAAAGGCTGAATTCAGCCTTCATATGCCTAATCCCGAAGAAAGACGGGGCAACTGGCCCGGAACACTATCGCCCTATAAGCCTAATCCACAGCTTTGCAAAAATCTTGACTAAAATCCTTGCAAATAGACTTGCTCTGCGCCTAAATAAATTAGTTTCTCAAAATCAAAGTGCTTTTGTCAGAAAAAGGGCAATTCATGACAATTTCCTGTTCGTTCAGAACCTAGTGCGTACCTTACATAGAAGCCATTCAGAAGCCCTCTTTCTAAAAGTTGACATTACCAAGGCTTTTGATACAGTGGGATGGCCATACTTGCTTGAAGTCCTTCAGAGGTATGGTTTTGGTACCAGATGGAGGAATTGGATCTCAAACCTTCTCGCAACCTCCTCTTCCTAGGTTCTACTTAACGGTTCGCCAGGAACTGCTTTGTAGCATGCCAGAGGACTTCGGCAAGGGGATCCTCTATCTCCGCTCCTGTTTATTCTCGCTATGGAGCCCCTGCACAAACTCTTTCAAGCTGCGGAAGAGGCCTCCCTGCTCACCCCAATTGGAGGGCGTTTTAGCAGGTTTCAATGCTCCCTATACGCTGATGGCGTCACTTTGTTTGTCAAGCCCGACCCTATCGAGATTGATGCAGTTAAAAGGGTTCTTAATTTATTTGCCCAAGCTTCAGGCCTCCACACAAACCTGAACAAGACTGAAATCTACCCTATCCGTTGTGACACCACCGACTTGACACATGTCATTACTCCTTTCCCTGGAACTTTGAAATCCTTCCCCTGCCGCTACCTAGGCTTACCTTTACATTTTTGAAAGCTTAGGAAAGTGGATTTCTTGCCTCTAATTGAAAAGATTGGATCGCGTCTCCCTGGCTAGAAAGGACGCTACTTCACGTCAGAAGGGAGAAGAATTCTTGTGCAATCAGTGTTGAGTGCATTGCCGACCTTTCATCTAACTGCCCTTCAAGCTGCCAAATGGGTAATCAGCAGAATAGATCGTTACCGCAGATCCTTCTTATGGAAGGGAGAAGACCCTGACAAAACAAATCCGGGAAGTAGCTTGGTAAATTGGGGTATAGTCTGTAAACCAAAAATTTTAGGAGGCCTTGGAATTCTAGACCTTGAGAAATTTTCTCGCGCTCTAAGACTTCGGTGGCTCTGGTTCAAATGGAAGCCTTGGGTTGGAATGGATTTACCTTGCGATGACTGTGACAAAAGACTCTTTCAGGCTGCCACTACGATAACTGTGGGTAATGGAGAAAAAATAAATTTTTGGCATGATAAGTGGCTGCAAAATTCATGTCCAAAAGACATTGCACCCTTGTGTTTCAACCTAGCTAAGCGCAAACAGAGATCGGTTAAAACGGAATTGACAAGCAATTCTTGGCTCCTTTCCTTTTGGCAATTAACTACAATTGAAGAAATCAACGATCTTGTCCAGCTTGGGGGAATGCTGCAAAATGTTCAGCTTCTACCGCAAACCAATGACGACATCACTTGGAACCTGAACGAATCAGGATCCTACTCTGCAAACAGTGCTTATTTATTTCAGTTCCAAGGATCCTTCTCTTCGATTGATTTTCATTCCATTTGGAGGTGTCCAGCTGAACCGAAGATGCGCTTCTTTGGATGGCTAATCCTTCACCAAAAAACTCTCACGGCCCAAAATCTTTTGCGCCGGCACTGGCCTTGCAATTGGATTTGTAGCCTGCGTGGAGAGGCGTTTGAAGACACTAACCATCTCTTCAATGTCTGCCCCTTCTTCAGAAAAGTTTGGCTTATGGTGTGCCAATGGCAAAACATCCCGGGGGCACAACCTGCAGATGACAACGCAGCTTGGTGGGCTGATCTCAATCATCTACACCCCAAACCTTTCAAATTCAGGGTTAAAGGATCTCTTCTCGCCACTTGGTGGAACGTTTGGTTGGAAAGAAACAGAAGAATTTTTCAAAACATCTCTTACATAGAGGACCATGTTGCGAGAATAGTAAAGGAGGAACTTGATCTCAGACACACTGCTTTCCAACCTCCCTAATTGTCTTTTCTTTTTCGGATTCCGTTTGTTTTTTTCGGGTTTCTCCCTTCTTCTCCTTCGATGTCTTCACCTGTATTCTCTGAACTATTTTTCTCTCCTCTAATGAAATTCCAGCAGAGCTCCTGCCGTCATTCACCTCAAAAAAAAAAAAAGGATGATCATGCTCTCGGTGTTCTCGTCAACGTTGCCACTGATGATGCTAGCTTGCACAGCGGCGCCGTAGGCCATGGCCTCGTCGGGGTTCACGCCACGGTTGGGCTTCTTGCCGCCGAAGTAGTCCTTGAGTAGCTGCTGCCGGTTGCCGCCGACGAGACGATCTCGTCGATGTCACCCTTGCTCAGCCAGGCGTCCGACATCGCCTTCTTTACCAGCAGCATTGTCTTCCTGAAGAGGTCCGCCATCGCCTTCTTTGCCAGCAGCATTGTCTTCCTGAAGAGGTCCGCCGTCGCCTTGTTTGCCAGCAGCATTGTCTTCCTGAAGAGGTCGTTGTTGAGCTCCTCGAACCACGCCCCTGGTGAGCGGCTCTGAGAAGTCCATACTGTCGAACAGCGACTTGATCTCACTGCGCACCTGGTGCTAGTTGCTGAGCACGCGCTTGGCGCGCTCGCAATCGCGGCAGAGCTTCCCCAGCGCGCGCGCGTCTCCGACGTTCCGCTTGATGAGCTTGATGAAATGGTCCATGACGCGCTGGTCGAAGTCCTCGCCGCCGAGGTGGGTGTCGCCATTTGTGGCCACTTGCCAGGACCTTGAACACGCCGTTGTCGATGGCTATGATGCTGATGTCGAACGTGTTGCCGCCGAGGTCGAAGATGAGGACGCTCTTCTCGGTCCCCTTCTTGTCGATGTCGTAGGCGATGGCGCCGGCGGTCGGCTCGTTGATGATGCGGTCGATGGTGAGCCCGGCGATGACGCGACATCCTTGGTGGCCTGCCACGCGCTGCGCATTGTTGAAGTAGGCCAGCATGTTGACGACAGCGCGGGTGAGTGGTGACCTTCTCCTTCTCGCCGAGGTAGGCCTCGGGGCTCAACAGTCAACACCCGCACGTCGCTGTCCTTTACCTCGACGTGCACGTGCGGCTCGCTGTACCTATCGACAACGGCGAACGACAACAGCTTCATGTCACGCTGCACCTCGGCGTCGGCGAATTGCCGCCCGATGAGGCGCTTGGCGTCGTAGATGGTCCGCTCCGGGTTGGTTGCTGCCTAGTTCTTGGCGGCCTCGCCGATGAGCCGCTCGCCATCGTCGGTGAAGGTGATCCACCACCACCAAGGTGTAATATGATTCCCCTGGTCGTTGGCGATGATCTCGACAATGCCGTTCCGGTAGACGCCGACCCATGAGTAGGTGGTGCCGAGGTTGATCCCGATCACGGTGCACCGCCGCCGCTGCCCTTGGCACCAGCAGCTCCACCCTTGGTCGATGGCGGAGCGGCCGCCGCAGAGCCGCCCGATGACGTGAAGAGGAGAAGCACGGCGAGGGCCCAGCTGCTTCGTCATCGTTGTCTCCGACGCACGCCGTGTCTTGCCTCTGTTTCGTTTTGC